CTCTACTCTACTCTACTCGCCCAGCGCCGATCCGACCTCAATCAGCTCATAATGCGTGGCCTTTTATATGAGTTGAGCCCGGACATGCAGACAGGCAAAATATGACTACGCATATTGTATGCATGCCTACGACATTTCAGCAGACGCCACATTGTGCAAATTGCACGCCAATCTTGAAATCTGTGACACCCTGCTGGCTGCTGTGTGCTGTTGCTGCCCTGGCCTGAGAGCCTCCCCCAGCAGCCAAGCAGCCCCCGACGTTCACGGGGCCTGGCGATGGGGGTAAACGTTTAGCATGCCTCATTTGCTTAGCAGATTAGAACGGCACTGAACACAGCAAATTCATCCCATTTGTTCGGCTTGACGTGCGCTGAGACCACTTCACGTGCGACACAGCGCAAGCGCCGTCGCCGCCTGGTCCGTGCGCAATTTTCACATAAATCTGAGCCTACTCTTGCTGTGACACCTCTTCTTGTCCAGCCCTCATTGCATGGAGCACAGCTAGCTTGGTGTCCTGCACAACACGGGACAAGTCATGGCGATTGCACAATGTGCATGGGTAGGTGTGCCGCTGATGGCTCATCTAGCAGGTGTGAAGTTGTACAGAACTGCGGTTGCAACAGCACAATGTTACAGCAGTAATCAATCATTATGCTGGTTTGATACACAAAAGGCAAGCAGCCTTGTCAATGATCAAGAAGCCTGCTGCTCTAAAATCAAATGCAAGGCTCCTGGTGGTCAAGCCCCTGGAAGTATGCAGCCCTGGATTGGCCCTCTCGGCCCGCGTGTCAGGTTAATAAACAAAACACTTCAAAACAGCACTGACGGTGCAGGCATGGGAAGGAAGGGTGGGCCTGTTCTGTGAGCGATACAGGGCCAACACTGTCACGCAGCGTTGATTCATGGGGAGTGAAATGATTGGCTGCCTTGAACCCTCAAAAGTCTTGCCAAATCCTGGTGAACCGAGGGGGATGGGAGGGTGTGGACAGAGCCAGTATGTGCATCTGCGCTAACACGAGGCTCACGATGAACACAGCTTTGATGAGGCACTACCGCAAGCATACCCTGCCTTGTTCCAGTCACCCCCCACGCATTGGCGTGGGAGTGAAGAAAGTTTTGTTCTGGTCAGTCTGCCTTGCAAGGTGTCCTCGTGTCTCCAGGCATACCAAATAGCATGACTGATTCATGTGCCGCCACTCGAGGCCCCTCCAGGGGTGCCACTGCTGAACAACGGCGACGCTTGGTGCCCCGAGCATGGCAGGCAGCCCAACAGCCGCCGCGCAGCGCCCCGCGCGTCTGCTGGCCCCGGTGCAACCACAGGCGCGGCGCCGCCGAGCGGCACCCGTGGGTTTGAGACCTCCAGCACGAGCTCGATGCGTGCCCTGCAGACTGGGCACTCGTTGGGCGGCCGGATGTAGAGGAGGTGTGCGCACCGCCAGCAGTAGCCGCCGTGCCCGCACTCCATGAAGACGCACGAAGCGCGGCGGTCGCAGCAGATGGTGCAGAGGCCGTCGTCGCCGTCATCGCTGCCACTGATGACACCGACACCGTCAGAATTCAATCGTTGCAATAGCTGCTGCTGCTGCTGCTGCTGCTGCTGCTGCTGCTGCCGGGTGGCTTCTGGCAAAGCCGCTGCTTCAAGGTCTGCTTGCTGCTCCCGCTCGAGCACGGCGGCTTCCTCCAATGCAAGCGGCCACACGCGACCGCTGCCGCCAAAGCCCGAGGTCGCCAACGAGGCAAGCACCTTTCCAGGGGACAAGGGCCCCGACCCAGCCCCTGCCGCCACAGCCACTGCCGCAGCGCCTGTGCATGAAGCTGGTGCTGGGGGCGCCTGCAGCCCACCAGCGCGTATGCGAATCTCCACAGTCACCGCACCGCCCAACTCGAGATCATTGATGGGGTCGGTGATGGTAATCATGCGCTCGGCCGGCGCCCTGCTGCCGCCGCCGTTGTTGCTGCTGACGCTGAACGCGCCGCCATCGCTTGCCACACATACCTCCTGTGTTGAGACGGTGGGAAAATGCTGCGGGTGTCAAGAACCTAAGGCAGATGATGCCTGCATGACTTTGTAATTTGGTAACAGGGAAATTGAAAGCATGCAAGTCAGCAAATCGGCATGTTCGCGATGTTTTTGATGGCAGATGTGCGCACAGCACCTTGCCGGACTCTGCCCCTTGGCGCAACCCACCTCGTTGGTGCCGCTGCCCCTCATCCTGTCCAGCTGCAGCGGTGGCGGCTGCAGCTGTGGCGTCTGCACACTAGCCGGTGCCTTGCAGGGCCCCGTCACTGATGCCACCCCGTCCTTGAGCACGCTCTCCATGCCCGCCACAGCTGCCCCTTCTGCTGCTCGCCGCCACAACGTCTCCCCCACCCGCAGCAGCGCCTCCGGCTTCTCCTTGTGCTGTTGATCGGGCGTTTGGGTGTATTGATGATAGTTGGGACCAGTCAAGTGCCTGCGCCCTGCTCCGACACCATTTAAGCGCCCGTGCTCAAAATGTTTAAGACAGCCCCACACATGTTGCAAGGATGCTGCTAACAGCACATACCACAAAGCACCCGTCTGGGCAGCCGGCCCTGATTCATGCCGCATGCCCATCGCTCAACCCCTACCTTCATGAGCTTGCGCGTGACCTTGGCCAGCTGGTCATCGCTCATGCGGTCCACCTGCCGCTGAGTCTCCGCCAGGTCAGCGCGCATGACGCTGCGGTGGGTCGCATCGTCTGCCGTCCATGTGCGCCCCGCGGCCGCCAGCCGCGCGCGCAGCTGCTCCTTCCACCGCAGGCCGGCACTGATGACCAGCCCCGACAGCCACATGCCAAACCAACCGATTGCCATGGGTGCCAGCACATGCGCCGGCGCAATGGCCATGTTTCCATCGAGCAGCCGCGCCAGCGCCACCCAGCCGGGCAGCTGCGCCATGGCGCAGCCCAGCAGCGCAAGGGTGCCGAGTGGCATTGCCAGCTCGCGCACGCGGACGCATGAGTACGCGGCGGCCATGAAGCCCAGGGCTGCGAGCGCCGCCAGGAAGACAGCGCCAAACCACATCCAGGGCACCAGGAAGACGACCTGCAAGGGCGTTTTCGCGCGCAAGGCGGCACGTCAGCAGCTGCTCTGTGGGGTCAAAAGCACGGTGGCTGACCGCACGCAGCCAGAAGCAGCGAAACGGCCGCACGCTGGCCGACTCCACATGAACACAGACTGTCAGCAAGCTATCATCCCATGCATGGCGCAGAACCGCTGCTCTGGGTTGCCATGCGGCCCCACCTTCCAGGAGTAGATCACCACCCCGTCCAGCTTGAGCGCAACAAACACGGCACTCAAGCACACCAGGTCGGCGATCCTGCCTAGCATGCGCTCGCTGGGGGGCTTGAGCCACGACGCCGCCGTTGTCAGCAGCCACAGCCCCCTGCAAGAAGTTATGCAACGAGAGCTGGTCGCGCAGCCTGGCACCTTCTCTAGGCATGATTGCATATTGCACATTCAAGCACTGGCACACCGCGTTGTTGAGAACCCACGCAAATCATGCTGCAACACCAACCCTCCCGCTTGCTCACCAGAGAGGGGCAAAGACCAGCCGCCAGCACACTGCCCCGGCCGCCACTGCCCCGGACTCCAGGTTCACGCAGACCACCGCCTTGACCGCCAGCAGCGCGGCGCTCTCGAGCACGTTGCATGCGTGGTCGACGGCCATGCAGCGCAGCCGCGTCTTGCGCATGGACGCATACTGGATCGTCAGGCCCGCAGAGGCCCATGGCGCCGGTGGGGGACCCAGCTGCTGGGTTACGAAGCGCTCCTTTGAGTGAAACAATGGGAGTTCCGCAGACGCGTGGTCGGCGCCCGTGTCAAGCCAGCATAGGCGACCTTGCGAGGGCGGTGCTGCCATGGAGACGTTACAAGCATCAAATCATGACTCAAGCAGGCAGATCAGCTTGTTGCATGCGCCAGGTACACGCTGCCCGACATGCTCACCCGCCTCGCGATGACTGCCGTGAAGAGCGGCAGCTGCACAAGGTGCACTGCCCACTCTGGGACAAACACAGCCCACCATGGCAAGTACAGCAGACCCTCGACCTGCACGCATGGGTGCATGAAGGCCATGCTATGTCGCATGCACGGCCGCAGCGCTGCATGCCGTGGCCTTGGGCCGCGATGCAGCAGCGGCAGCGGCAGCAGCAGCAGCAGCGCACGGTCAAACGCGCTCCTTTCCACGGCCTCCAAGCGTCCTTGAGAACTCACCTTGAGAAATAAAAGCACGATGAATATCGAATGCATAAGCCAGGTTCCGGTGGCGTAGACAGCCACGACGCTTGAATGCATTCGCAGCTTGGCCGGTGTGAGCACCAGCTGGTCCGCATCCTCGCGCCCGTCTGCACCGTCCATGTTGAGACCACGTGCATGCGCTAGTCACAACCTCAGCCGTGTCGGTGGCCTCAACGGAACTGTGCGGCCGGTTGACACAAAAGACCGACCGAGACCGAGCCTTGTGAGGAAACGATTCGTGTACGCGATTGTTGGGTCAATCAGTGAGCCATACATAGCGCGCCATCGGGCTGCGGCAAACTGCATTACCTCGGCAGTGCTGCAGCCGTATCGACGACTAATTGCACATGCACTGCACTGCTCTCCTCTGAACATGATCCAGGTCAGCCCGAACCCGGCCCCACCCAGACCATCCAATCCGCGGCATGTCTCCGCGTGGCACGGGTCCGTCCGTGTGTTACAAGAGGATCAGGCCGGTCTCCCCTGGCGCGATCGGCGTGCCCGCCATCCTCCAGTTGTAGAGGTAATACTGCAGCGTGCCGTCGCCGATGCCAAATTTGAGGTCCTTCAGGAAGGAGGCGTTCTCCATGAGGTCCAGCGCGTTGAACACGTCGTAGCCCTTGGCGGTGGCCAGGATCATGGCATCCTGCATCAGCTGCTGCAGCGGCGCCTTGGTCGCAACTGGAAGGGGGGGATTATTGCCAGCCACGGCGCAGAGGGCTTCGTAAGTTAACCTCATCATACAGCGAAACGGCATGCATGCGGCTTGCATGCAGCTCCTTGCGCATACAGGTTGAGTAGGTGGGGGTCTCAACACTGCACGTGGTCAGCCCCCCGCGTACTCCCTGGCCGCCTTCTAGCTGTGCCCTCCGGCAGGCTCCGCGGGCTCCCACACCCACCCGTGTAGAACATGTACGCCGCCCGGATCTCATTGTGCTCCGCATGCCCCAGAACCGAGCTCGGCAGTGTGTAGAATGACACCACGTCGCTGATGCCGCTGCCGCCGCCGCTGCCGCCCTCGCCGCTCCCGCTGCCGCCGTCCACCACGTACGCGTCCACCACCATGTCCTGCGGCGTCAACCTGCAGAGGATGGAAATGTCACGGCAATCGAAACATGACGGGGCAAGTCTCTTATGAGTGCCGCCACAAATGTGTCACAGTTGGCTATCGGCTGCCAGCACTGACCCAGCCAGCAGACCGCCACGCTCCGGCATCAGCCGGGCACTGCCAGCCGACTGCACGCAGCACCAGAGTTTCTGGCCTGTGCCGGGTGAAGCGCACCAGTGCTGCACCTCGTCCGCAGAGAAGTGCTGCGCCAGCTTGAAACAGCTGAGGTAGCTGTTGAGCAGCCGCGCCACCGCCGGAGCGTCGGCTGCGACCATCGGCCGCAGCCCAGGGGTGGCAGTGGCCGGCGGCAGCTTGTACAGCTTGATGGTGCGCGCAAGAGTCATGCGCGGCTGGCGAGAGGGATGCGAAGGTAGGAGGAGTGGAGGGTTGACCCAAGGTTTTAAGAATGTACCAGCCGGCATGCGTTCCATCACCAGCTTCATACGCATGTAACTGCATCTGCTGGTCCTGGGCAAGTCAAAGACTGCGGCAGCAGCCCTGAGACCCCCTCCTCTGCGCTCGTGCCGTTCTCGCTCCCGCATCCCACCCACCGCGAGCGACGAGAAGCCGACGTCTATGAGCTTCTTGGGGTTGAGGGAGCGGTGCCAGTAGCGGCACACGGACACCGGCTTGGGCAGCACGACGCCCGCGGTGTAGGCTGCCTGCCAGATGTCCTGCAGGTTGACGCGCCTGGTGATCTCCTGGGTTGAGGTGGTTGAGAGGGGAGTATTGTCGGGTTCTTGGTTGAGAAAGAGGGGGCCACTTCATTGAACCATATAAAAACCAGTGACAGTCATGCTGTACAAAAGCAGTCAGACATTAGAGCCAGTTGCCACCCACGCTCCCATGAGTGATACTCCACCCCGCCAGGCCCTAACGTCACTGACAGAAGCCACTTTCTGCCACCCCTGCTGCATCGGCGGGCCGCTTCCTGCCTGCCACGCCTCCCAGCACGCGCCTTGATCATCACGGGTGCCAGCCTCTTGGACCTGAGCTTCTTGTGGACGCACAGGAAGTTGATCTCGACCATGGGCAGCCTGTTGCCAGCTGGAAAATGAGAGGGTGTCGAGGTTGGAGTGAGTATGATTCCATGTGACGCACGCGTGGCGCAACGCAATTTTGGGCGGCGAGCGTGATTCAGGGCCGTAGTGCTGGTGTTGCAGAGCGCAGAGGGGCTGCAATGCGCATCCATGGCATCGTCCCCTGCCTGCGCCACCACTTGCAGCTGCTGACCACCTTTTATCCATGCGCAGGTGCCTGTTGGAGGGCAGCAGCTAATACCAGGGTGTTCCCTGCTCTGACTTGCTGCTTCGCCTGCTGCTGTCGCTGCTGCCGTTGCTGCTGTTGCTGTTCTTGGCGTTGTTGCTGCCGATGCTCCTGTTGCCTTTGCCGACGCTGCCGTTGCACTTGGTTGACCCAGCTGCCCCCAAATGCAGCTTGCAGCTGGCCTGACGACGCCCCCCCTCACCAGACAGAATAGTGGCCGGGATGGCGCTAATGAAGGCCACCAGTTTGCGGCTGGCCTTCACGCGCACGCCCACGTGCCAGTCCTTGCGGAAGCCCGGCGGCTGCAGCGCCCACTGAAGGAAGGCCGGCGAGTAGTTGAACCTAGGCAATCAACGCGGCACGGGTGGCAAAGCCGCAGCGAGTTGGCCGCCGCATGCGGAGGTATGCTGGCCTCCAGCAGACCGCCGCCCATGCCGCAAGTCCACGCTTTCGAATACAAGCATTCCCCCATGTGAATGCCCCGCCGCGCTTCGAGAGTCTTGGGCGGCTCCTGCCCACGTGCGCCTGCCTGCAAATCCTCGACCCCCAACCCCCAACCCCACCGTCTCACACCTGAACATGGCGTCGTCGTCCTCCACGTAGTTCAGGTGCAGCAGCTCATACACCTCACGCACCTGGACGGCGTCACCCACATCGCACTCGCACCACTCAAAGCTGAGGAAGATGGGCGAGCACGGCATGGCAACGGCCGAGGGGCAGGGCCGACTGGTGTTAGGGGCTGCTGCATGGTGCACGGCTGCCAGCGCCGTGGGCTATCCTGCATGGCGCGCGATGTACGGTCAGGCATGCGACATGCAGCATGCGAGCCAACGCATGCCTTGTGCGGGGCACAACACACTGGCAGAGCTTTTGTTTTAAGCTGCACCGCTTTCAGGAACTGTTCACCTGTCTGGCAGTGAGTAAGGCTCCTGTTTGACCTCCGCCACCGTCTTGGGCTTGTCTATGGGCCCATCCTCCTGCCCGCAGGCGGTGAGTTTTGAGGCAGGGCCTGTCGCGGGCCGCGATGCTTGCCACAGGCTGCTGCACACCCCCTGTGGCCACCTTGCCCGCCTCGGGGACCTTCCCCCCAGATCAAAGGCCGGCGATGACGGAACGCAACATACAATCAGCCCACCTGCTCAGCTGCTCCGCCATCAAACTGCACCACCGGCTGCGTTTCCCAAAACGCATAGCGCTGCTTGCGCTGCTGCTTGCTGGTGTTGGTCGCGGCGCGCGAGCCAAGGGCCGCTAACCGAGCCTGAACTGAGGCAATGAGATCTGTGCTAGGTCCAGACGAGCTCGCCTCGCCCTGGGCGGGCGCCCCCTCCCCGCTCATGTTCGAACCAAGCGTACAGTGGTACTGTGTCTAAGATCACGGCAAGAAGTACCGGTAAGAGGAAGTAAAACAAAGAGCGCGATGAAGGGCATTCAAGTAATTGCGACACTTTGATCGAAAGCCCTTGCACAGGCCGATCAGCGGCGAGGGTGACCGATGAATGACCGTGACTGATCGCGGGGTTGTGCTACCGCATGCCAGACATGATCACAATGCATAGCGTCAATGACACACTATGAAAAATTTGCGAAACGCATCCCGCAGCCGATGTTAGCTGCCTACAGATCTCGTGCCTTTTGACTGTGTGTGCGTGTCTTGAGCACAGCCTTGCGGCGTACTATGATGTCCTACTATGGCCAAAGCACACCAGGCATTGGTACGAGGCATCGCTCATCACTGCCGGCCACTGAGTGCAGCGTGCGCCCAGCGCAGCAGCACCCGCGGCTGGTGGTTCGTCAATGTGGCGTCGGTATACATGCAGCCAGCACCATCTACCGAACTAGGACCAAAAATCACAGCAATTCATCATTGAACACATGGGGCGCTAGGCTTCGAGCGAACGCAACACTCCCAGCTGCGGAGGCCCCTTCAGCCGCCGCTGTCGACGGCGGCGCAGCATGGCTGGTTCGGCGGGAGGGGCTGCCGGAGCGCTTCATTGGGCCTGTCGAGTGCGTATTGATTGAGGGTGAGGACCACGGCCGGATTCAACAGCAGTGCGCTTCAATCACTGTTGGGCCCTGCAAGCGTTCACGTCGAGCCCGCTGTAGTCCCAAAATGCTCCGGGTGGCATCGCCCACCTGCTTGCTGCACGACCCTCCACCTCCGCTCGCGGTCTGCCACGCAGGCAAGGGACGCGGGATGCGTACCACCCGCGCAGTGGCTCCCGGCGAGCTGCTGCTTCTGTTGCCGCCCCTGGCGGCCTTGGTCGGCCCGCCGGACAACCCCCCGACGCCGCAGCAGCTTGTGGACAGCGTTGTGGCCGCGGGCCCCGAGGGCGCGGCCGCCAGCCCCTGGCTCGGCCTCCTGTACGACGGCACACGCTCCACCTCACAGCAGCCCGTAGACCTGTCGCAGGCCGACGGCGGCGCCGCCGCCGCTGCAACCGCCGGCCGCAGCGGCGGCGGCGGCGGCGGTGCTGGGGCCAAGCCGCCGCAGGGCGCCAAGCGTGAGCGGCAGCAGCTGAGGCGCCGCGTGACCAAGGCGGTCGCGTTCAACGCGTTTGCCGACAAGCACCAGGACCTGGCGCTGGCCGCGCTGTCGCGGGCCGCAGGGCTGCAGGAGGAGCGGCCGGCGGCGCTGGTGGGGCTGTGGCCCGAGTTTGCGATGCTCAACCACAGCTGCGCCCCCAACGCCATCAACTGCCCGGCGCACCTGGCCGGCGGGAGGCCGTTGATGGCGGTGCGCGCGGCGCGGGGCATCGCAGAAGGTGCGCATCTGTGTGTGTGTGCGTGTGTGTGTGTGTGTGTGTTCACGCGCGCAGGTTGACGTGCAGGAGGGGGGGCCGAGTGGGCCGGTATGGGTTTGCGCGGAGTCTTGCCAGGCACTGATGCCAGGTGATGCTGCCGGTCTTCCCAGTTGAGGTCACTGCACTACCGCGTGGCGCCACAATGCCCGGGGCCTGGGCCACCCACTGCTGCAACCCCACCAAGCACGCGCACCTGCACCCTTCCCATGTATCCACCATGCCACCCCTGCTGTGAATTTTGACAGGAGAGGAAGTGACAATCTCGTACTTTGGAGCTGAACAACTGACACCTCTGAAGGCGCGGCAGAAGGCGCTGAAGACAGCCTTTGGCTTTGACTGCAGCTGCGAACGCTGCATAGGGGAGGCCGCGACGTGGGAGGCGGTTGGGCCGACAGTGGAGGCCGTGGCAGAGGTGCGAAGGAAATAGGATGGCTTCCATTCGGCTTCGGGTGGGGCTGAGAAGGAACTTACTGGAGCATGCCGCAGCAATCAGCCGTCTTTGGCCGCATCAATGTGTTGGGACCAGAGGGCTTCGGCCTTTTCCCCTTTGCAGCTCACTCAGCTTGTTGCCTTCAGCTTTTTGGGACGTTGCAGTCCCGCTTCCTCACTCCCCCATTTCTACCTGCCACAACCCAGGCGACGGCCGAGATGCGGCCCGTGTTGGAGGCGGCAGCGGCAAAGGGTGATGCGGAGGGGGTGCGTGAGGTGGGGCTGGAGGTGGGAGCGGTGCTGCTGCAGCTCTATGGCATTTTCCGGCAGGTTGGTGGTCTGGTGGGGTGCGGGTGGCGTAACATCACGGGGTGGGGCAGCCCGCCTCTCCTGGAGATACGGGTGGGGTAGTGTGTGTGCGTGTGTGTGTGTGTGTGTATGTGGGGGGCTGGCGCAATGTTCTTGCTTGCATTTGCTTCACACCGGCGCCGACTCTCCTCAAGCGGACTGCACTTGCCTCGCCCCCCTTTCGAGAGCAGAACCTGGTGCGGCCGCGGGTGCGCCTGTGGCACCAGGCCAGTTTGTACTCGACACTGGAATTGGCAGCAGACGCAGACGCCGTACTGGCGGCCTTGGCGGAGGCAGGAGGTAGTGGCAAAAACGCAGCGGATGGCGGCGCAGCCACAGCGACGGTGGCGGCGGTGGCAGATGCCGAGGAGGCGGAGGCGGCGAGCGTGGCCGTGTGCCTGGCTGCGGTAGAGGGGGTGTCCCCGGGCTCGGACCTGCACAACCAACTCGCAGCACGCGCGCTACGCCTCGCGCGGCGACGTTGCCAGCGGTTGTTGGCCGGCGCCGCCGTCGACGGTGGCAGCTCAGGGGCCGCCGAGGCTGAGATGGGCGCCGCGCGGCGGTGCGAGGCCGCTCATGTGCTGCGGTATGGGGAGGCGCTGGTTTCCGAAGTCGGCGCTGAACTGTTTGATCTTTCAGAGGAGCTAGCGCTGCAGGGGCTGCCGCGGGCCGGGACTGCCGAGGGCGGCGGGGGCGGCGCCGGCGGGGACGGCAGCTGAGGGCTGCGTGCTTGGGCACTGCCGGCAGGCCCATGCCTGGCTCTCGACTGTCGCTGCCACCGCCCTGACGGCCCTGTGTCACTCAACATGCAAGCATGTTCAGCTGCAAACACGTGTGCATTCACGCATGCATGCATATACACGCATGCACAGGCATCACGAGTGCCGCTCTGCGTGAAACACTTCACGTCACATGAATCGACTTGCTGCCAAAACCGGCGTCCAAGTCCACTCACAAGTGTGGTAGAAATAGCCATCACAGCTGCAATTGCAGTGGATGTAGGCCTGCAGCAGCAGGACGCGAGACGGGGCAGCATGTTGGCGGGGCACACACAAAGCAGCCACCACGTGACAGCGAGTGCTCGCCCCGCTTAGGCCGACACCCGCTAGTAGTTGTGAAGGCGACATGAATTATTTTGACGTGAAAGACACGATATCACCCTCGCACTCCTAGACCTGGATCCCGCAGCCTGAGGAACTGCGGGGGCCGCACATCTGCTCATTCATTTCGACGCACTGCACAGCGTACAAACCTTCATTCTTTCGTGAAAAGGCACTTGATTAGGACATATCTGTATAGCTGTTCATACACCACCCGGCCTCTGCTTGGCAGCAGGCCGAGGGCAGATAGCTTGTCCCACGCGAACCAGGGCCTGATAGGCAGTAGGCCACGAGCGTGCGTAGCTAGAAGGCGAACAACATATATACTAAAAACCTTAGTACCCGGAGGAGCCTGATGCTAGGGGCCTGATTGCTTCCTTCTGACAAAATGCGCGGGGAGGCTGGCCAGATGCACCTCAACTCTGCACAGTCCCGGTCGGCATGGACGGAGCAGGTGCGAGAGCAGGCTGCTGGGCCCAGTGGTTGTGACCGGGCAGGGGCGCAACTTCCGGCGTGTCAAGGGCATCCACGCTGCAGAGGACCCCCGCGACCTGAACGTGGCATATAAATCATTGTCCCATTCTTATGATGCAGGAGGATGACTTGCTGCGGGCGGCAGTAAAGAACTATGGGGACCGTGCATGGGCCACAGTTGCGAACGACGTCCCAGGGCGCAGCAGCAAGAGCTGCAGCGACAGGCGCGTGGGCATGCTCGGATACCTGAAGCGACCAGCGCGTAAATAATGCGGGCAGCAAGCTGCCAATGAACACGCTTTGGCGGCAGTCCTGCTGCAGCGGGGCAAGTTTGGTCTGCGGGAGCTTTGCACCCTAGCCGCTTGCCCCAGGGCAGCAGCAGTTGTGCAGCAAAGCCGCCCTATGGCGCTCCTTTTGTCAGACGTGCCGATCGCGGCCACATCCTGCGCTTCACAGGTGGCGCAACTTCCTGAGCCCCGACATCGAGCACCCACGCAAGAGCCCGTTCTCAGAGTGGGAGGTGGCGGTCGTGGTGCAGGTGCGCCCCGCGTGGAGGGTGGCGATGGCCTGGGAGGGAGGGCGCTGTATGAACCCAGCGCCACTCCTGACCTGCTCTTGACAGTCGGCCCACACACATGGCAAACGCATTTGGCGCCGTGGCAGCGGCTGCCATGTGCAGCAGACGAGCCACAAAGAAAGGGCCGGCGCGTGAGGGTGCCACGGCCACGCCTATGGGGCAACACACAACAGACAATCCTGGGCAAAGCAGGCCGGATGGTCCACATGCAGTTCTGCTTTATAGTGACGCTATCCTGTCGCAATTCTTTTCTGGCTCCCTCGCAGGCGCAGCACCGCTATGGCAACAACTGGAAGGGTGAGTTGGGCGTGACACGGGATGGCGGCTAGTTGGCCTGGGGCATGTTGCAATGCTAGCTGCCATGATATGGATGAGAGGGAAAGTGTGTCAGTGTGCGTCGCGTGTGTGCATGCATGTGTGAGTGCACGCACGTGTGCATGAAAGAGACATGTAGGAGACACATTCTGTCCATCTTCTGAAACTCCTGTGCAACCCCCTAATCGATCGTTGCCTCACTCGACCTACTGTTGCTCTCCAACAAACACACTACCAGCCATCTCCATGCTGCTGCCTGGACGCACCAACCGTGCTGTGAAGAACCTCTTTGTGGGCAACCTCAAGTGGGGGGCGCGCCTGCCAGAGATTCAGAACAGGTGGGGGCCGGGGTGGTGGCATCGGACGTCAGGCGCCACAGGTTGCAGTCCAGTCCAGCCCGTGGTGCGCCTGCCACCTGCCTGCTCTTGGTGCTGGTGCATCCCCCACCCTTGCACGCCTCGCCGCTCAACACTCCCTCTCCTCACTTTTGCCTGCCCCACCCCGACGACTCACACCCAACTCCTGCTGGCCGTCCGGGCAGCCGACTATCGCCACTGTTTCCCTTTCCCTCCGGCTCCCTCCCCCTGCCCACCCCACCGTCCGCACGACACCTCTCAAACCCCCCCCCCCTCACCACACTCCTCCACCTCCCGGCAGGTACCTTGAGACCAAGACCCCCCTGGAGGACCTGCTCGAGGTGAAGCCAGACTACGCGGGGGGACCCCCCAAGGAGCGCCCCGCCCTCCTCATGGGCCCCCACGGCGCGCACCGCCAGCAGCACCACGCCCTGGGCGGCCACCACGGCCTCGCGCTCGGCGGCAGCGCGTCCCCCAGCAGCCTCGTGGCGGCCAGCACGTCGTCCGCGGGGTCGGCGTGGGCCAGCGACATGACTGACCAGCCCATGGCGGGCGGCGCGCCGCTCCACGGCGTGCCGCACTACAGCGGCGTGCCCTCGCACCTGGGAGGCGGCCGGCGGCCGCGGGAGGGGACGGAGGGCGGCAGCCCAAGCGGGGGCATGGGAACGCCGAAGGTGGGTGGGATGCATGGTTGCCGCCATCGACGATCCACTAGGAAGGGTGGCACAGTCTGATGACCCAACCCTTTGACTTTCGTGAACGCTCCATGAAACAGCTTGAACGCCCTCGTGCACACAGCTACATGGCTTGTCGCGAACCAGCGGCCGTATGCAACCGAGTCCCGCTCAACACAACCCACGATACCGCGCTCACTCGTACCGCCTCCGTATCCATTCCCCATGCTTCCCTCCCAGGCCGCCAACAAGCGCCGCCGCGGCGGCGGTCCCGGCGGCTCCCCGGCCGGAGGGGCTGCTCACCCGTGCGCCAGCGAATCTGGCGCGGGGCAGGCACTGGTGGACGGCCCCGTGCATCTGGACATGAGTGGTATGGGCGTGGGCGTGCAGGGCATTGGCATGGGCCTGGGCCTCGGCGGTGGCGGCATGCCAGCGTACCTGTCCGCTGACATGGGCGCGCCCATGCAGGGGCTGGCGCCCATGCAGCCGCTGCACGACCCGTCGGCGGCCCACCAGCTGCAGCTCATGGCGCAGCAGCAGCAGCAGCAACACCAGCAGCAGCAGATGCTGATGCAGCAGCAACGCATGCAGCAACAGCAAATGCACATGCATCCGCAGCACCACATGAGCCACGGCCGGCTGGACACCCATTCCCACCACGGTGCCCACAGCCACCACCATCACCAGCAGCAGCAGCACCCCAGCGTTCCCAGCCTCCATGCTCTCAGCCCCGGCAGCGACAACGACCACACCACGCATGCGCCGCTCGGTGGCGCAATCGGCGGCAGCGGCGGCGACGGGCTGCTGGCGTCGCTGCAGGGCCACCAGTCCAATGATTCCATGATGCTGCAGCAGATCATGGATCAGATCTTGGAGGATGACGAGATGCTATCGGATCCCGCGATGACCAAGCACCTCCTCGGCAGCCCCACCTCGTCGCCGCTGCTGCCGCCGCACTGCGGCGCCAGCTCTGGTGGCGCGGCCGCGGGGGCCACGGCGTGTGAGGGCGCAGCTGGCATGGCTCGGGCCAGCACCTGGCCAAACACATGGCCGGACACGCAGCAGCAGCAGCAGCAGCAGCAGCAGCAGCAGCAGCAGCAGCAGCAGCAGCAGCAGCAGCAGCAGGTGCAGCAGCAGCAACAGCAGCAGCAGCAACTGAAGCTGGAGCAGCAGCAGCAGCAGCAGCCGCAGCAGCATGGGCTCATCCCATTTGACTGCGGCCGCACCTCTCCTGCCATGCGGACCTCATCTTGCGGGGCGGCCGGCATGGGCGCGCCCCTGCCGCCGCGTGCTCTTGCTGGCGCACCACCGTGCGGCTGGTGGAGCGGCGGCGGTCCCGGCGAAGGTGGCGACGTGGTGACTGGCAGCGTGACGGCGGGCAGCTTCCTCCACCCCTCTCGGCGCGTGTCCACCGGTGACTTTGCGTCCGGTGACGTGCTGGGAGGGGCGCACCGCCACAACGGAGCTGCGCCCGGCGGGCCGCCCACACCTGGGGCTGGCGCGCCCGCGGGCGGCGGCCAGCTGCAGCATGTCAAGCTGGAGCAGCAGCAGCAGCCGCCGCAGCAGCAGCCGCAGCAGCAGCAGCAGCAGCAGCCGCAGATGATGCGCATGCTGTGCCACCAGCTGCAGCAGGAGAACCTGCTGCTGATGCAGCGCGTTCACTCCCTGCAGGAGCGCCTGGCAGGCACGCCCGCGCCGCAGCCACAGCCCGACAGCCTGGGCCTGGCGCCCTGCCTGCCGCCCCTCGCGCCGCCACAGCCGGCGCCGGCCGCGTCACCGTCGCCGGCGGCGGCCGGGGGCTGGGCGGGCGTGCCGACGCCGCCGCTGCTGGGGCCTGGGGCGGGGGGCAAGCACGAGGACGCCCGGGCACAGCTCCCATGAGTGACGGCAGCATAAGGACCACTGGTTGCAAAGCCGCGTTTCCCGCGGTTGTCACTGCCGGCACCTTGCCGGTCGGAATGGGCCGCCTTGCATGGGGCACAACACGTCAGCGCAGCCAGCGCAGAGGGCCCTGCTGGTCCACCGAATCAACTCTACGTGAGCCTCCACCAAGCAAACAATGGACCGGGCGCCGACCGACGCGCCGCACGCAGGGTGCCGGCCCCCGCGGCGCCCTGAGCCCCGTGGCTCGACACCCGGCGCTCTTTTTCCGGCCGCGGCCGGCGCCACCCCTCAATCAGGGACGCGCTGGCACGGCTGCGCCGCCGGCTGCCTGCGCCCCGTCAGCCCACGTCTGGCTACGCTCTCCTCTTCCTAATTGTGGAGAGCCATCAACGCCCCAACGCCACTGCAAGACGGCCCCGGTAGCATGCACTGTGCGCGCACCGCCGACACGCCGCCTGTGCGCACCCTCTGTGCCGCCTCGCGCGCTCTCCGTTGGTTTTTACCTAGGTAGGCCGCAAGCAACCTACGCACACGCAACACACCTTTCCCGACAAACAAACACACACCCACATACACATCTGCCCAGACACTCATACGCTGCGGCCCTCTGTCGGGCGGTGGGTTGCTCTGGGTGACCAGTCACGCGCCCTTCCGCTTAAGCTGTTGAAAGAGAGGCGTGCAAGCGCATGAGCGCAAGGGCCTTGCAGGGTTGCCCCCTTTTGTCGACCTCTCGCCCCACACCTGCCCCCGCCACACGCGATCATCTGAGCGCACTGGGGCGTTGCACCTGGGCGCTTGAGCGTGTTGCCGGCCGGGATGCCAGCAGCAGCAGCAGCAGCAGCAGCGGCGGCGGCGGCGGCAGCGGCGGCGGCAGCATAAGTAGCAGACGCCGCAGGCAACAGCACTGTGAAATCTGTTTCATAATGCAAGGCAGGCAATGAGCCTGTGGGCTGTTTCCAGTGTGCGACCCGAACACTCCAGTTTTTGTGTGTTTTGACCTGCTGGGGCGCATGCTAAGGGGCCACCCGGAGCGCCGGGTCGACAGAGCGCCCTGTTGCCCCCTCGCCCGCGCATTGCTGCGGCGCAGTCCATCGGAGCGAAGCCCGGTATGGCCTTGCTCGCTCGCATGCCGCCCGCTTCGCAGGCCGGCCGGATTGCAGTGCCGCTCCAAACTTGCGTGGGGCCTGGGGTATTACTCGCACCTGTTTTCCACCCAGGCCCCAACAGGGAGCAACACGAGCAAACCCCGCTGCGACACGCGGGGCACGCGTTTGTTTTGGCCGCGGCGCGGCGTGCACGCGCCCCTCTCTCCTGAGGGGCCGGCCGCGGGTGGCAGGCGCCCCAGCAGCCCCGTCGGGCACCCTCCTACGGGCATGAGGCTCTGGGGCTGGCGGCCTTGGCCCGTATCACAATGCACTTGTTTTGGGGTTGGGCGCTCCCCCTTGCTTGGGGTGACGGGGTGGGCGCACTCTTGATTGAGAGGGGCGCCATGGGAACACTGTTTGTACGTCTGTAACATCTTTTTCAAAAGTCTCTCAGCCGCTTCGTGTGAAGAGAAGCGGCTGTTATTGGCTTGGCGGGAATGGTTCGGCCTTTGTCAATGTACGATGCATTGCGGCGGTGCGGCGATTTGGATAGAACGCAGCAGCCGCCCTGTGGCGTGGGGGAGGGTTTAGTGCCTGGCGGCCTGCTAGCGGACTGATATGAAGCAACAATAGTTGCTGCAAAGAGGAGGGGGACAGGAATGTGCAGGGGCCTGATGCTCAACTACACTTGACCGCATCCGGTGGCGGCGCAGCAATGGGCACCAGAGAGGCTGGGTCACGACAAGGGCGCACCTTGACAGTTGGTTGGCAGTAAAAGGGGCCCTGCGCTGCAAAGAGCTGAGCACACCGCTTCAAAAGTGCATGCGTTCCTTGAGCCGCGAAATCAACGCATCCCGGGTCTCTTGGCGGGATGCGGCGCAGGGCGCCTCGCAGCCCCTGATTAGGGCACAATGCAACAACAGCCAGCCGCCCCTTCTCAATCGCAGCCCGCCCGACTCTACTGTGTTCAGATTTCCCGCACTTATGAGGTGTTGCGCCAGAGTTTTGTTGCAAGAGGGGCCGTTGATGGGGGGCATGCGGCGCCCGGCACTGGGTGCAGCGCAAGTCCGCCTGGGCTGCGTCATCAATGACGGGGCTGCGTGGCATTGTTTTGCGGAGCGGGACGCCACAGACTCAATCAATCCTGATGTTGTTGCCCACTTACAATTGCTGAGCTGCCTGGCGGGCCGTGTCGGGCCCGCGTCGAGAGGGAAGACTGCCTGCTCGAGTCCCCTCGGACAATAAGTCAAGGAACATGCCCCATACGCGCCCGTGACTGTCGGTGTAATCGATTATCCTGTTGGAAATGCCTCATTTTACGAGCCGGAGACGATGACGGCTTGGTGCACTGGGGCGTGCTGTGCCCAAGGGCCGACTTGATTCGGCCAGGGGTTATAGGCAGCGGTAATTCAGGTGCTCAAAAATGGACTGGGGCCTGCCGCTGCAGCTCGCCCATGGCGGAGGACTAGCGGGTCTTTCTGCCCTCGGCCTTATCCAGGAGGTCTCTGCACAGGTGATGATTCTAAATGCACTAAAAACGTCTGCACGCGAGCTTGCCGTGGTGTGCGTTGGAAGCGTACATGCATCACCCCGTGTCCCGTCTCCCTTGACCTGGGCACAGGCCGCCTTCAGTCAGGCAAGGGTGGATAACGCCGAGCTTGCTGCTGCGGCGTCAGCGGCAGCGCAGCTGCTTGCTGCCGCGGCACTGCAGGCGACGCCCAGCGCGTGCATGGCGCCTTCGTACGTGGCGCTGCCCCGCTCAGGTGTGACCGCATGGCCCGGCGCACGGAGGGTACCACCCCTGGCAGCTTGTCGTTTGATTACAGGGGCACTCATGCACTGCGTGCGCCCGGCTCGCGGGGTGGACGGCCGTCCGAGGGCCCGAGTCACGCCCCCTGACGCAAGTGCGTCATGCAGCGCCACACCCCCGCCCGCCTCGTTGCCGCGCCTCGTCCCGGCCCCGCCGCGCGACCCTGCCTCCAGTGGCCCGCCGAAAATGTAGCCCACCCGGTCCCGCCCGCGTCTTTACAACCTGTTCAGGCGCGGTAGTGGTGTCGGACGCGGCGCCGGGCGGCCCTGCGGCAGCTGCGCTCGCGGCGGAGCTGGAGCAGCTGCTGCAGGAGGCGCATGAGGCCTACAGGGCGGGGGACTATGCGCGCGCCCTGTCGCTGTGCCAGCCGGTGAGCGGTCGGGCGCCACCAGCAGGGCCGCGGGCGCGCGCTCGGGGATGGACCGGCCGCTTTCCTCGTTGCAGTTGCGAGTTGAGGTGGTGTGTGGGGAGACGCCGCAAAGTGTGAGGGGGCCGCGGGGCTGGCCTGCGGACTGGAACGTGCAGCCTCGGCAGCGAAGCAGATGGCGGTGTGATCCCCGGCACACCTCTGCTGGTCATTGAACGCACTGCAATGCCCGTTGACTAGAGGCCGACTGCAAAGTGTGGCCGCATGGAGGGTGGCGGTAGCACACCTGCGAAGCGAGGGCAATGCCGAACCGCGTGCACCCTTTGAGCCCACGACAAACTGGCCGTCCCTTGGGCCGCGGCTGCTGCAATGTCACGACGGCGAGCGGCAGGGGCGGCGGCGGCGGAGGAGGCGGCAGCGGCAGCGGCGACTTTAAGTGCGGGCAGTTCAAGCAGTTGTGGGCTTGACCCAAGCACCCTAGAGCGTCAGCGCGAGGCCGCGCGTTCCCTGCGCAACTGGCAGTGCGGCGGCCCATACTTTCATCCCTCTTTGCCCCCTGCCGCGACCCGGCCGGGCCCCTGGATCCACCCCCACCCCCCACCCCTCTCAC